TATATCATCACCATTACCACCACTTGAACAACCTGAAGCTATTTCATTTATTTTTAATGCTGCACCAATTAATTCAGCACCATCAGAAGTACATTTATTACTTGAAAATTCAAGTGATCTTGATACAACATGGGCATTTCTTTTTCCTAAAGATTTACAATGTGAATTAGAATATTGGGCACGTACAGGAGATTTTACAGAAGAAGAATTAAATGAAATGAAATTACAAGATAATAAAATATTTAGTATTAATCCAAAAAAAGGAATATTAAAAAAAGGTTCAAATGTTACAATTACAATTACATATAAACATATTTTTCCTGGTCAACATACATTACCAGCTATATTTAAAGTTGGTCGTGGAAGACAAATTATGCTTAATTTAGTTGGTATAAGTGTTGAACCAGGAGAACGATATGTTCAATTTTATTCAACTAATCATCATTTATTACCAGTTGAATTAGGTGCACAAGGAGCACCTGTACAACAATATGAATTATGGAATGGTGGTACAGTACCAATTCATTTTCAAGTATGAATATTTCTATTATATAGTTCAATCAAAATAAGATATATATAATATGAAAACTATTTTTAAAGCTATTGATCTTTATATTAAGTATCAGTGCTAGAAAGAATCTAAATAGTAATTCAAATCGAGAATTTAGTTTTTAACAAGAATATAAGCTACTAAAAATTATTATTAAGTTTTCAAAGATAGAGTCTTCAGAAAATCCAAAGGCTAACTTTTCAACGTGTAGAACAGACATATATATAATTTCCTTTAGACTACATAGAACGATAGAACAAACAATTCTCTACATAATGAGATATCTCTGAGTTCTCTGCGACTTTTTTTTTGTTGAGATGCAACAGTCTTACGAAAGCTTGTTGGTACTCATCAAATATATAGAAAATAAGATTAACTATGTTTTACAGTACTAGCCAAGAGTGTAAAACCAATACATTTTTGTTTTCTTTTTTTATTCTACAATACGAAGTATTCAACTCAAATCTAAATAGTACTTCGATTAACCAATGAAGTTCTCTATTGAAGGAATTTTCCTACCGAAACTTCATGAATGAACTATGAGCAATATTAAAATAGTCAAGAGTATCATGCTGTCTATATATTTTAGGTTGATATGAGTCAATTAGAACAAATATCATTATCAAATTATGGTTTTTGGGTTCTTGATTGTCTTACACCCGAAGGTATTATAGTTCCAAATAAAAGTTTTGCAACACAATGGGTATTTAATCCACTTGAAGCTCGTGAATATATATTTAATATAAAAATTGATTTGGAAAATTGTGAACCAGCATACATTACATTTATTGGTCATGGTTTTGATAAACGTCATATAAGTTCTGATATATCAAAATCTTTAATAGATAATCTTGAAATAACAAAACAATTAAATTTAAATGATCGTTTAGCATTATTAACAATTGATCGTATAAATTTTGGTAATTTACCATTATTTACTAAACAACGTCATATTACTTTTCTTAAAAATCAATCAAATAAAGATGCTATTTCATTTATTTGGCATGTTACAAATCCTGAACAAGTTCGACATATTCGAATTCAACCAGGTTTATATTAATCTGTTTTTTTTTGTCTCTAATTTTCATTCAAATCTTTTCTTTCTTCTATTAAATAGTTCGTGGTAAAATTCAACCTCGACAATCATTACCAATAAAAGTAACATTTATGGCAATTGAAGCACCAGCATTTCAAGATATTGATCTTGTTTGTGAAATCTATAATGAAACAACACTTAATCAATATAATATTGATTTAAAAAAATGGGAAAGTAATATACAAAAAAAATGGGAATCTTTTGAAATTGATGATGATGAATATAAAGCATGTTTACGTACTGGTACACTTGATGATATTGATAAACAACAACAATTAAAACAAAATCAATTTCAACAAGGATCAACATTACAAATGTGTAAAACTTTACCACCAGTTGTAGTTAATTATGAACTTGATGAAACTAATATTGATCGTAGAAGACGTTTACGTGCAAATGTAAAAAAACAACTAAATACAAGACCACAAATGCCTATACCAGAATTATTACATTTAGCATTTACAGCACGTACATTAGTTTATAATGAATATCTTGATTTATGTACGAATACAAATCAATTAGAAAAATTCTTTATTGATACATGTTTAGGTAAGATTTTTGATTTTTAAAAATGAATTGCTAAGAAAAATTTCAAATGATGACAGAAAGTGTGTAAGAATAAGACTATAAAAATCTTATTTTATCGGCAAAGTTTATTTCTGATTCATTCAAATTACAGAATATATTAGATTGCGTAGAAAATAATAACATTCTATTTTGAATCGGATTTTTATTACAACAAAACATAGCCCTTGTAATTTATACAACAAATTCACGTTTACATTTTAACTTGAAAATCTTCAAGATGATATTATTTTACTTAAAACTAATTTTTAGAAAACAGAAAAGATTATCAACTTATAAACTCTGCAGTGTGCATGATAATAATAATTTTTGCAAAATATTTATTAATCTAGAAAATCAGTATATCAAGATCTGAAGGAATTTCTTATGGTTATATTCGTAATCAATATAATAGATAACTTATAATTCAGTAACATTCTGTGAGAAAGCGATTGGTAAGTTGAAAACGTTCTTTCATAAGATGATGGATTTCATAGAAAAAAAAAGGAAGTTGAATATAGAAGATTTATTTGGTTTTAAACGTTACTCTACAGATGATAATGTTATTTTTATTGATGAAGAAACGTGAAAAAGGATGGAATATGAGGACATAAAGAATTGCACCAACTTAATACGCAATGCAATGGAATAAGATCCTAGCAGTTATTTAACTGTGTAAAGCAGGAACAAATAAAAACGATCTTTGCTTGAGCCTAGGCAAATAATCCAGTATAATTAGTTTGATAGCAATCGAGAAATGAGTTCAAAAATGGCCCAAAAAAAGAATAACATGATTTTTAAACATTTCCAACAAGAATGAATGTACATCAACTACATCTTTTCTCATTGTAAAACATAAACAGAGTAACACATATATATAATATAATTTGTCTTTTGTAGGTGGTGATTATCGCAGTAAAAATTCCAAAAAACGTCTGAAAAAAAATGAAGAAGATGAATTAATCTATGATGATAATGCTGACGATGAACTCAGTGCAAACAATAATGAACAAATAATCGTATCAGTCGAAGAAGCTGATTTACTTCGTACTACATTATCAGATTTACTTCGAAATCTTTTATCTGATCGAGTTTTCTCTGATACATTACCAGAAATGATTGCTGAAAAAATACCATATTTTTCACAATTACAATATACTCGATCGTCAAAAATTAATAATGAACAACAACAACAACAACGTCAAGAGAGTCGTTTATTGAAAGATTATCAAACTCGAACAAATCTTGATGAAATTTATACAACTGAACCTGATCCAAGTTTTCTTTGGTCAAGTATTGATCATGAAAACACTCTCAATCGTAGTGAATTAATGCCCAAAACAAAAATTATAAAACGAGCATCATCAACACCATCATCATTATCGGATTTTGAACAACAACACCATTTTGATAATAATGAACATTTAAAAAATAATCCAAATATAACATCATTAATGGAAGATATTTTAGAAAATACAATATGGAATATATTACAAGAAGCATATCATAATGAGTTTAGTTTAACTGCTAGACCACGTCTTATTGCATTACCACCTAAACGTCAATCATCTTTATTAACACGATCTATTCTTCAAACTGATTCAAATCAATTAGTTTTTCCTTCACCTCCTCTCATTTTGACAGAATCTTTTGATTAACAGTGATTGTATCTATCGAGTTTTCTTTTCTTTTTCGTTTTTATTTTATTCAAAATAATAACAGGAATACTGCTCTCTTCTTCGCATAATAAAAATTTATTGAAAATTTTCAACGCGTAATAAATTACATTCATGTTTTTTTTACAATGAGGAGAAATACTGGAGAAAAATCACATGAGGAGGTTTTCTCAGATATTCTTTTCTGGTTTCCATGATTTTTTTTTGTCTCTAGAGAACATCTATAAGCGAAAAATCATTCAAACTGGAAGGAGACATATATGAGAAGGTTCCTTTATCTGTCTAAAACATGAAGTCTAATCAACTGAAAATAGTTTCTATTTGAGAAAACCGATCGCTACCAATATTTTTTTTAAACAAAAATCAAAACAAGTGGTAAGTACAATTTGTACAAGCTTAAAATGTGAAACACAATACAGCTGTTGTTGTTAATCATTGGAAGATTATTTTGGGACAAGTTCTTTACGATATTCTTACTTAGTTCTTCAGAAATACAACAAGGAACTAGTTCATATATTAGAACGAGACGTTATTGATATACGACCGGTGCTTGTGTATTATCATCAATCATGGTCTGTGGAGACAGAAAGTTCCAATTTCTATCGTATACACTTCAACACTTTTAGATTATTTATCACAAAGCCTATGAAGTTATGATTAACCAATAGCCTGATAAGAAATTTCTCAAGTTCAAATATCAATTAAATAACTAGTGGGATAATGATCTAATATGAATACTCATATTTCAGATCCACTCATGCATCATTGATTAACAAAGAATCTTCTTGAAATCATCATACACAGAAACAAGAACGACAAAACGCCTGTAAGAATACTTGTAACAACGAACATAATTAATTAAAAGCATTAATTATGGGCAAACATATTATCAGATTGATATTGTCGAAAGAATCTATATCTTCCGTTGATAATTTCGATAACTATCTCTTCTAATATTCGTGTTTTATATAAACTCCTTTGTATTATCAACATCAATAATAAATCAATAGATAAAAGTTTCTTAATCTAATTATCATCGATATTTATATAATCAATTACGAAAAAAAAAAAATCTTTATAGTCAAAATAAGTTCTTATTCAATAAATTTCTTTTCTAAAACATTCGAAATTCATCTTCATGAAGATTATGTCTTGATACACGAATTGGTTCTTCTGCTTGACTAAGTGATGATGGATCTAATGGATCTTTTTTTGCTGGTTTATCTAATTAATATTAAAATTCGAAAGAATAGTAATTTTACTATTGAACTTACATGGTATATTATTCGGATTTTCTGATTGATGATATATTTTAATAAAATTAATACTATCAAAAAATGGATGATTTTGTATATCTTTATTTCCATTAGCCAAACAGCCAAGTCTTGTTGTAACATCAATTACAAGTATTTTTTTAATTAAATCAGTTAATTCGGCTGAAAAAGATGATGGACATGTATAACGTTGATTAACAATTGCTCTATATATATTTTAATTTATTTAAATATTAAATATTTATTTAAACATACTCATATAATTGAATATGATCTTTACCAGAAAAAGGTGGTTGACCAGCAGCCATTTCAAAACATAAAACAGCAAATGTCCACCTGAAGAAAATAAAAAACAAAACCTTATAATCAATTATCTATCTTTCATAACATACCAATCAACAGATTTTCCATAACCTTTATGCTTAATGATTTCCGGCTATATGGAAAAAAACATACAATAATTTAATTTACCAAACAAAAAATAAAATAAAATAATGCAATATCTCCACCATAGTTTGATAAAATATGCTAATTCTTCAACTACTAGAGAAATTCAAAGATCTAAGAATTTTCGTTTTGACATATGTGATTTTGTAAAACTTTCCTTGTTGATTATTTCAATAAAAAAGTATTTAGATATTTCCATCAAGAAACGCCGTCATTAGCTGATGATAGTTAAAAATTCTTTTCACTGAAATGATCAGTAACAAAACTTCTATAAAATGAAATATATCAAAAAAATATTTCGGATACGTTTCTTTGCCAGAAAATTTCAATTTTTCTCTTTATCAAATTTTAAGCAATCTTATTAAACTTTTTCCTCAAAAATAAAAATCATTCGGAAGAAAAACTAAACTCATTTTTATTTATTGATAGTCTATTTCTTGTGCACTCAAAATATGTTAATAATTTCAGTACCGGTAAATAGTCTGGTGTGCCACATAATGTATACGTTCGACCATTAACATGTTTTGCAAAACCAAAATCAGTTACTTTTAAATAACCATTTTCTGCAATTAAAATATTTTCTGGTCTGAAATAAAAAGTTTATCAAAATTATTTCAATCGATCAAATCAAAAAAAGTTATACACACTTAAGATCTCGATATCTATTAAAACAAAAAACAAACAATAAATAATATTCATTAATTCTAATATAAACTTACAATATATCAAAATGATGTAAATATTCAAAGACAAGAAATATTTGAGCGGCATAAAATTTCACATGTTTCTCATTAAATTTACCTGTACGTCTTAAATAAGTAAATAGATCACCACCTAAAAGGAAAAAAAAAATATATAAAATAAAAAAAAACAATTCTCTTTGTTTGTTTTATTTTTCCTTACCACCAATATATTCAAGTGATAAATAAATAAATGAATTATCTTTAAATGAAAAAAAATATCGAACTGTATTTGGATGTTGTAATGAATATAAAACTCGACGTTCATTTAATGTATGATCAATTTGTTTATAACGAACTAATTTTCTTTTATCCATAACTTTAATAGCATACAATTTATTTCCATCATTTTTATTTAAATTATCATTTTTTAATAATGCCAAAACAACACGACCAAATGAACCTCGTCCAAGTGTACGTATAAGTTGAAATTTATCAAGTGATATTGTTGTATCACATGGTAATACACGAGACCATCGTTGTTTAAAATTTTCAATTAATTCAGCATCTTCATTTTCATTTGCATATGATATATATTGATATAATTCATTTTTAGCACCACGAACTAATGATGATACCATTGGAAAGATATTTAATTAAAAGAAATGTTTTGTTGATTGTTCGTATCATTAATCGATATCATTGAAAAAAAAGACACATAAAATTATCCGAATAAACAAAATTTCATAAATATGACGCGCCTTTTAAAAATTTTTTATATTTAATAAGAGACAAATGTCTAGTGCAAAAATATATACAAAGAATTGAATTGAAAATGTTTCTTGAAGGTTACAAAAATCTGAGAACGAAAAATATTTAGAAACTCTATCGTAACTTTTTTTGAATTTTATTTTTTTTTTCTTTGCCAAGTTTTATAACATACGGATATCAGACTATTATTTCGTCAAACAAAAAGGCAATTTTTCGTAACTACTGATCTATCGCAGTCAAAAAACTAAATTTTACTCGGAAAACGAAGTTGTTCGAAGAATTATATATTTTATATGAGAAAAAGGAAACGGGTCGAGCTCGTTTACTACATAATATTTTTGCAAATAGGACACAACCCTACTCTGTGAGATACTCAAACAATACCATGTTTTTGCATTACAAGCGCAAAATTGACTTTGTATTTAAACTATTCATTGTTTAGTTTTTTTCTACATTAAACCAATTATTATAAAATCACACGTAAGCCTTCGTTGTAATCAACAATTAGTTATATACATATGATGTTTGAAAGTATCGAAAGTCGATATTGGATTGCAACTCTATATCAGAAACAAAATTAATGCAAAACTTTTGCTCTGACTTGTTATTATAAAATGAATAGCTGTGTGGTAAATATATATCAATTTTTATTGATCAAATTTAAATTCTTTAAAAAAATCTTTGATAGAATGTAAGTTTTAAAATTAATTTAGAGAATATATCATCTAAGAATTTTTTTATAGAACATAAAGTCTTAGATGACATTGAAGATAACGAAAAGTAATTTTTATCGAATTCTAAACAAGTCAAAAAACGTTAACAAACGTATATAAACAAAAGCTTTGATATTGATATTAGTTTTAGTACATTAAATTGAATAATTATGTTTGAGATTAGATAACCTTATGGATTGCATGTTGAAATATTTTATTTCAAACAAAATCTATAAGATTGCATAGCATCGTAGAAAAATTGATCCTCTGCATGTTAGTATTTCTACTGTTGTCAACAACAAAAGATTTTATCAATCTTTACAATTCATCATTATTTTTTATTTATCATATTTCTATCTCAAATGTAGATTGATATATTTTAATTGTTTATTTTCGTTAACATAAATTATTTCTTCTTCAGAAAATTCCAAATATACTTATGATCTTCTTATACTTGCATGTTTCTTTTTTACTTAAAAAAAACCGATTCTTTTTCTTTCAATATTACCACTAATTTGATTTTTTTATATTTCAATGCAGCATACAGTATATCAAAGTTTCAAATTACATTTCAAACTTCTAGTCTAACCAACAAACACTTATAATTTTCTTTTATCTTAGATTTTTTTCTCTCACATATACATAATTATTTAGAATAATAATAAAAATTCAAATAAGTTCAATTTAATTATTGATTTTCTTTATAAGCAAAACCGACATAACAAGAATGCTATATTACTAAAGAAACAATAAAAAATACATTTGTTTAATAAATGATGCAAGATAATAACAAAAAAAAAACAGACATTTTATCTTTTCATTTATAAGAATAGAACACAATCAGTAGAATTTTTTTTTCATTTACTTGCTTCCATAGTAAAAGGAACAACAGTTTCAAATCGACTATGATCAGTTTACGTTTTGTTATGCTAGAATCAAAATGAAAGAATTGAAAAAAACTAGTGTGTATCAATAGCAACATCATTAGTTGGTGAAGATACATTTATTAGCAGAGACAATTCAGACAAAAGAATTCATAATGAGACGAGCGAATCGTATAGAACCGGTTATTACCGGTAGTGATGTTGGGGATTTAGCACGAGCTACTGTAACAACAACAACACATATGGAAGTTATACGACGAGTTCAAGTAGTTCCGATGGTAAGTAACTGTAAATATTCGATGTCAAATATACAGTTTAATTGTTGCATGTCGATGAGGATTTTCTTTTCTTTTTCTTATTCATTTTAATTGATCACGGTAAAAAGAACAATCAATAAGAAAGTTAACAATTGGTTGAACAAATTGTTTTGTTTATAAAAAAAATTTATGCTAATGTTTGTTTTCAAATATTTCTTATAGAGAGAAGCACTTGCTCAATTGCATACTGATATTAATCAATCGCTTGCTGGTGATATAACTATTTCACCAAGAATTTGGAGTGGAATGCAGAGTACTGTAATACCTGTAGTCGTTAGGTAATATATGATTAGTGAAAGTTCTTATTCACTGCTTTCTGCATTGGAGAGATTTGATGAAAAAGTTTTCTTTTCCTTCAACCGAAGTCATAAAAAACGACAGACTATTTCTTAGATTGAAAGTTTTTATCACTGAATATCGTTGATTTCAATACAAATATTCTCTACTGATCTTAATTCATGAACAGTAATGACTTTTTTTCGAGATTTTTATATTTGTAATTGATTGAATCGTGCATGTAGAATTTTGTCTTTTATGCAGAGGCTCACGCAAAACATTATGGCTTATTGGCAGTGTATTTATTATAGTTGGGTTGTTTGCTCTTGCTGCTATGATTACTGGCTTAACAATCGCATTTGGAAGTGAGTATTCATTTTTGTATAATATTCAGTCTTATTATAATTAAATTATTCTCTTTTCTGTGTGTAAATAGAGACCAATGCGGTTGGTGAAAGTCAGATTGATCGTATGTGAATTTCATTTTATTTAGATCGAAAAATTTCTGTACGCTTCTGTTAATTAGGATATGACGTTGGTAATTTGTACTATGGAATGAATGATGCCAATGCTGATAATTTTCCTTCAAATACTTATTTATCTAGTGAAAATAAAGATTCTGTTCAAAAATTTGTTTGTATATTTATATAATTAAGTTTGTTTTAATAAAAATATTTTATTTTAGCTATCTGATCAATTAATGAACGAGCCTGGTTATCGTGGTTTATTAATCGATGGAGTTCTTGTACAACAAGACTCGACAAGTGGACGAAGACGACGGTACTTATGTTTAAAATTTATATAATGAAATTTCAAGATATGTTTTTTCCTAGAGCTACATCATGTCCAACTACTTTCGTTGTTCGAAATATTCAAGTTTATTTTGATCGTTGTTCAAGTTGTGTTGGTTCACGTAATCTTGCTTTACGTCGTGCACTTGGGAATCTGACTGCTTTTCAAAAACCATTAAATTTATCAATAAACAACGGTACTGTATCTCAAATATCTATAGAAATTTGTTCAACACCAAACATAACGAGTCTAAGTAAGAAATTAGATTTCTTAAGATGTAATTTAAAATTTTTTTGTTCGTTTAGTTGTACCAGTAACATTAAGTGTTCTACAAGCACAACAAATTAATTCAAGTCTTTTATCAACAAATACATATGCGATAACGACTCAGGCAGCATCAAGTTATTCGATCTATACTTATTCAACACGACCAAAAAGTCGTTCAACATATGTAGTTACATCTCGAACTATTTCTACAGAAAAAATAAAACCAACGACAACAACGACATTATATCCAATCGAAACAACTTCACCAATTGCAACAACAATGAGGAATGATATTAGTAGCATTGTTTCCACAGTTTCATCTCAAATAGCAACAGATTCAATGTCAACTGTTGAATTTACAGTTGCACAAACTTCAACAGAAACACCTGAAATATCTACCACTTTTACTGAACTAACATCAACACAATTTAATGAAATAGATGAAACAACATCTTCCATAGATTTAATAACTACATCAGAAATAATTGAACATACAACAATAGCACAACAAGTCGAAGATACAACAACAGTACTATTCGAAGACATAACAACAGCAGAACAAATCTCAGATGTAACAACAACAGAACACATCTCAGATGTGACTACAACAGAGCAAATTTCAGATGTAACTATAACAGAACAGTTCGAAGGAACTACAACAGAACAGTTCGAAGGAACTACAACAGAACAGTTCGAAGAAACTGCAACAGAACAGTTCGAAGGAACTACAACAGAACAGTTCGAAGGAACTACAACAGAACAGTTTGAAGGGACAACAACAGAACAGTTTGAAGGGACAACAACAGAACAATTCGAAGGAACTGCAACAGAACAGTTCGAAGGAACTACAACAGCACAGTTCGAAGGAACTACAACGAAACAAATCTCAGATGTGACTACAGCCGAACACGTCGAAGGAACTACAATGGAACAAATCTCAGATGTGCCTACAACAGAACAGTTCGAAGGGACAACAACAGAACAATTCGAAGATACGACAACAGCAGAACAATTCGAAAATATAACAACAAAAGTACGATTCGAAGACACAACGACAGCAGAACAATTCGAAGAAACAATAGTAATGAAACAAGTTAAGGACACAACATTTTCTACACATGATATCATGTCAACAGAAGCATTTGATAAAACTGCAACAACGCAAGAATTTGAAGAAACAACGTTTTCTACCAATATGACGACAACATTCAATGAATTTCTGGATATGTCAACATTAGAACAAATCGAACTAACAACATCATCTGCAAATGAGACAACAACATCGTTTGAAGATTTAACAGTGACAGCAGAATCATTCGAAGCAACTACATATGCTACCAATTCAACGTCACCATCAAGCGAATTACTCATAACTGAAACTTTATCATTCGATACGGATACAACAATTGAATTGAAAGAAACAACATCATCATCATCATTGACAAATTTTACTAGTGAAGAAAAATCAACTGCTAATTATATGAATAATGCGACAATAAATAATGAACTTGAAACAACATCTATTGATAATTTTGAAGAATTAACAAGTCCTACAGCAAAAGAATTTTCAACAATAAATGATACTACTATCGAATCTGATTTATCTCAAACAACAATAAGC